CACAACGCAGAGAACTAACGGCAATAAGAGTTTAAGGCCAGACCGGCTACATGTACTCTGAGACTTCTCCTGGACTCAGACAGCTCTGCATAGCAGGAATTGACTTTTGTGATGATAAAAGTGTAAACAGTTTTCAGAAACATTTAGTAGCAGAAAGTCTAATATCACTCACTAAAAAGGAACTCTTTTTTTAAAGGAATTTGAGGCTGAGGAGGTTCAGATAACAAGGAGTAAGCATATTTCACTTCCTCTTCTTCCAAAGTGAAAGAGATGAAATTCAGAAATTTACCAACAAAAGAATCCTTCAGTTTTTAGTTGGTTTAACTTGGATACGACCACCTGAGTATTCAGTGAAGATGATATTGAAAGTCTGGATCTTGTGCTTTATATTTATTTTTAATTACTCCAAACGTAATGAAATTATAGGTGGAGCTAGTTACCGTCCACCGGGATTCAATAAAGCAGTCAAGTATGGGATATTTGTCTGGACTTTGTTATTACAACTCTGTTGTTGTCAGGGAATACTGTATCCACAAATGTAGATATTTTAAAACCAAACAGTGGAAAACTGATTGCTTAATAAATCTCCATTCTTGAGTAAATTACTAAAGCTTGCAAGTGATAGGAAGGCCCTTACTTTAGTTACTTTACCTGACCATTTAAATTTAATTTGAGACAAATTCCTGCTTTCTGGTAGTTTATAACTTTTTTTACACATGATTTTATTTGATGAAAACTGTAACTTACTTGTCTGTTTGTTTTGCTATTGTTCATTAATGATATTTTTTAAAACAAACAAACTTCCGAGTTCCTGTGCTGTGGTGGCGGTGATAAGAAGGGTCCGGACGCAGCCTCTGTGGAGCTCCACAGTAGGCGGAGACACGTCACCGCCACAGTAGGTAGAAACAGGCGACCTGCATAGATACAGTGGAAGCCGCGCAAGTTATCATTTTTAAACTTCTACTTTTTATTGTGCTGCATGGCAGAGAAACACGGATATGTTTCCTTACTGGCCCTGGTTTAAGTAAGGGAGCTGGATTAAGGGCTTCTGTGGGTGACGTGACAAAAAATTGTCTCTAAACCACATTTTGCATTGAAATATGATTTATTGTTGGTATCAGAGATGGAAAGTAACAAAGTAGAAATATTTTGTAACTGAAGTAGAATTTCCAGTTACCTGTACTTTACTTCACTACTATCTTGTGCCCACTTTTTACTTTTACTTCTGAGTGCCTGTACTTTCTACTCACTACATTTTTTAAAATCAGGATCGTTAGATTACCCCCCACCCCCTCAGACACAAGAATATTTTATACTTTACTTTACTTTATACTTGTTTACTATATTTAAGTATACTGTAAGTATATAAATATTTTGTATTCTGAGAAAAGTATTCTGATTCTGAAAATACAGATACCTGAAAATTAACTTAAATACAGCAACTAAGTATTTTTACTTTGGTACTTCCTGCCTCTGCTCTCTGCTAAGGTTTTAGAATCACAGTGGAAAGTTTCGAATTATTACTTCGTTTCAAGGAATGAATACAATGTATAGAAGTAGATCAAAAGTGCTAAAACACAACCACTCAGACTTAATAAACAAAAGGAAAATCAGTTCAGTCCAATAATTTTTTATTTGCATAGTGCCAGTTCACAAGAAGATGCTTCAAGGCACTTGATATTGTAAGGTAAAGACCCTACAAT